GCAGATGTGCCAAAATTCAAGCTCAGCTTCAGGGAATCCTGGAAGCACCACAGGGCAGCTTCCCCGCAGTGAGGTCTCTCCTGGCTCCTGTTCATGGTTTAAGGACCAGTTCCTGGTAGTATCCCATGGGTGGACCCTCCTAAGCAGTGGTGTAAAGCAAAACGGAGATGGAGATCAGAGGGAAAGGAGAAAGAGAAGCCAAGGAAAATGGGAATAGAACTCTCTGCACTGATCCTTGTGGATTGCTTTCCACTGGGAAGGGAAGAGGCTCACAGGGGTGAGGGTTGGAATCTTCCAGGGCTGATGTGTGTAGGATGAGCCCGTGGGATCTGTCCTTGGTAGAGGTGGGAGAATTGGAAGTGTTGTCAGCTGGAGGCAGTACCCACCTGCTGGGTGTCATTCCTGCCAGGAAATGAGCCATGGAAAGCTGTTTCCTTGTTGCCGAGTGGCCAGTAAAAAGCCATGATTAATGTGTCCTTTTTTAGCCATGCATAATTAAGGAGGAATCTGTAATTAGATCTTTAACTAGAAGGTGACCAGGAGGAGAGAGGCTGATCCTACCTCTCTGACTATGCCTCCAGAATCCCTATGTCCCCAGAATCCCTGTGTCCTCCCATGCCCTCCTCCTGGGAATCCACAGGGATGAAGCCCTGGAGGACAAATCCAAGACCTTCTGAGGAGCATCAAACTGAACAGAGGATTTATGCTCCACCATCAGTTGAGGATAATCCACATGCTCAATCCCATATTAGACACCAGGAATTCCATTGGGAAAGCCCTGCAGGAAGCTGGGTGGAGTCTCTGGTATCTAACACGGGATTAAGCTTCCTTGATGGCTTGTCCCTACTTGGGATCAGCATCAAGGTGTCCCATCCTCCATCTCCAAACTTGGAGGAACACATTCTTGACCCTGTGGCCTAACTGGGATATGATGGAACAACAGTGTCCTCTCCAGAGCCTTGAATCCCTAGGGAACCAGGAGAGAGACAGCTGTTGGCCCAGGGGGGCCTGGGTGGTGCCATGAAGCCTCTGTTGGCGTCTCAGGTTCGCAGGTCCTCATGGAATATTCATGTGAGGACGGTGTCAGCTCTCTCCTCTGGCTCCTGCTTCCCGGTGGGAGCAGCGGGAGGGTTTGGAACAGCCTTTGGTGAATACTGCAGAGCCCCCACTGTGCCTGGAGAGAGCTTTGCTTGGGATCCTCCAGCTCTGGTCCAGCTCCAGCGGCACCAGGATGGATGTTCCCTCCCTAGCCCTTCTTGGATGAACTTTTCCAGCACCTTTTCCCAGGATACGGAGTCGTGGCTGAGGGTGAAGGTAGTGCCCAGGGAGGGCAGGGGGAGGTGGGAGGGATGTAGCAGTGCTCTCTGGCTTGGGAGAGGGACAGGTGGGATAGGGAAGGGGCTGAGGGGTCAGGGAGAGCCACTGGGAATCTGCTCCACCATGTCTGGGATGGCTCATCCATCATTCCTCAGCTGCCTTTTCCCTGCTCCCAGTGCTGCCACCAAATCCAATGCATTTCTATTCCCTCGCTTGCCTTTTTCCTCTCCATTTTGCCTCTTTGGTTTGTTTCTTTTCTTTCCTCCCCCCTATTTTTCCTGGGCTTTCCTGGTGGTTTTCCCTGGAGTTTTCCCCAGGGCTTTTTCTCCTGTTTTGTTTCCCCATGTTTCTTTTTTTTCTGCCATTCCCCCCCTCCCCCCGCTTAGTTTTCCCCATTTTTTTCACCCTTTTAACCTCCCTGTGTTTTTTCTGCTGGTTTGTTTCCTTCTTTTTTTCCTATCTTTTCCCTGATGTTTTTTCTTGGGTTCCTCCCACCTCCTGTTTGCCCCCTCCCTGTTTTTTCCCCCATTGTATTTCCCTGATTTTCCCCACTTTTTTATCCTGTTTTTCATTTTTCCTTTCAATTGCACTTTTTTCCTTTTCATTTTTCCCTTTTCCCTTTTTTCCCTTTTCCCCTTTTTTCTTTTTCATTTTTTCTTTTTTCCTCTTTATTCTTTCTTCTTTTTCCCATTTCCTTTTTCCCTTTTTTTTTTTTTTCCCTTTTCCTTCCCCCCTTTCCTTCCCCCCTTTTCCTTGCCCCCTCTTTCCCCCCTTTTCCCTCTTTTTCCCCCTTTTCCCTCCTTTTCCCCCTTCCCCTGCTTTTCCCCCCTTTTTCCTCCTTCTCCATTTCTCTTCTTTCCCTTCCTCATCCCCTTCCAACTCCTTGTTTTCCATCACTTTCCCCCCAGTCCCCTGTGCCAACACCAGTGTGGGCAGGGAGAGACAGGAGGCAGCACCAGGAGCTGGGATGGGCTGGAGGAGCTGTGGTGGGGCTGGAGGAGCCAGGATGGGTCTGGAGGAGCCGGGATGGGGCTGAAGGAGCTGCAGGACATGTGTCCAAAGTTGGGCATGGGAACAGCACCTGAAGATTTGTGCCACCAGGGACCTCTTTCCTCTGGACTCTTCCATCCTCCTGTGGATGTGCCAGAGGCTGTTCCCCATCTCTGGGGCCTTTAGGGACACACAGGCTCCTGCAACCAATGTCCCCTACTGTTGCACTGAGGGGTCACCTCAGTTCCCAGGGGAATTCTTCTGGAAGGAACTGGTTAGGCTGGGATAGGTCTCAGTGCATATTCCTTGGATCAGGTGCTTAATCCCAGTTTTCCACATGGTCCAAACTCAACATTCTCCTGATGGTGACATCAAAGGGACACAAAGCATCCTTGGCAAGGACCATGTGGTTTGGGTTCTGGGTGAGAAGCTCCTTGCAGAGTCCACCCCCAGCTGCTCCTCCCTTTGATTTTCCTTCCAAGGAGCCTCAGGAATTCCCTGGACAGAATTTATCCCTAACCACCTGTGAGCTAAGTGCAGCTCTGGGACTGGTAGGACCTTATTTCCCTCCACTTCAAATCATTTAATGGAAAAGAAAGGAAGGGAATGGACTGGGACCAATCCTGGAGGTGTTTTGTTTTAGGTGCCTGCTGGATTTTCCAGGCTAGAAGGAAACTCCAAGGTTTTAGAGCAGTTTCCCAGCCTGAGCAGTGATTTCAGCATTTGCTCAGGAAAGAGATGAGTTTGCAAACCTCTTCCAACACCTCCAGGAAGATGTTTCCTGGCAGGATTACAGCTGTGGAAACCTCATCCTTATCTTTCCTCAGAGCCATCAGGGAGCTGCTCTTTTCCTGGGAATGAATCACAGCTCCCAGAGGCTGGAGTATTGCTTTATTCCCAGTTAGCCCTCAGCTGTAAACAGTTTCTGGATCCTACTCTGTCCTTCTACCCCACTGGGTTCCTCCACCCTCAGTGAATCCATTACCTTCCCATTCTCCTGAGTTTTCTTCCCACTGAACCTGCAGAATTCCAGGCATTCTTGAAGACAATGGAAGCATCAGGTTGGCTGCAGTGCAAGGGATTCTTTGACTTCCAAAAAACCCCAAGGATGCAGCTTCATACTTTGGTCCCAGTATCAGTTGTGATCAGAGGTGAGACTGAAGATGTTCCAGTCCCAGGAATGATCAGACGTGAGACTGGAGATCCCCCAGTTCCAGGTGTGTCACCTGGCTCATGGGCAGTGTGTCCCAATCCTGCTGTTTCCAGGGATGGTGCTGAGCTCTGGATTCCCTGGCTTGGCAGACAGCTGGGAGGATAGGTCCAGGCTGGAGGTGATGTCAAGCCTGGAGGTGAGGTCCAATGTGGAGGTGATATCAAGGTGGAGATAAGGTCCGGCTTGGAGATGATGTGAGGTCCAGGCTGAAGGGTGAGGTCCCAGCTGGAAGTGAGTTCCCAGATGGAGGTGAGGTCCAGCTTGGAGGTGGGGTTCAGGCTGGAGGCGAGGTGAGGTCTTGGCTAGAGGTGAGGTCCACCTCGGAGGTGAGAAGACATCTAGCCTGGAGGCTTAGTCCTGCCTGGAGCTAAGGTTCCTGTTTGTTTCCAAGCTGGCCAAGAACATGTCCACCAAACCTGCAAGGTGCCTGCAAACACCACACTTCCAGCTAATGGGAATTATCCAATGAAAAGAGCTCCCCTTTGTCTCTACCACCTCCTGTCCTGGAATAGCCACAGCACATGACCTCCAACTCTCTCCAGCTGTTGGATCTTCAGGATCAAAACAGAGTTATCTGACAGCCTGACCTGTGTTCCCTGCTGGGCTCAGTTCTGTAAACATTAGGGAGTCTTCCTACTGAGGTTTTCAGCTGAATCTTGAGGCTAAAAATCCATATTGCATCAAGATTCCAGTCTGGAGAGGGACTTGGGACAAGGTCCTGGAGGGACAGGACACAGGGAATGGCTTCCCACTGCCAGAGGGCAGGGACAGATGGGATATTGGGAAGGAATTCTTGGCTGTGAGGGTGGTGAGGCACTGGCACAGGTTGCCCAGAGCAGCTGTGGCTGCTCCATCCCTGGAAGTGTCCCAGGCCAGGTTGGATGGGGCTTGGAGCTACCTGGGCTGGTGGAAGGTGTCCCTGCCCATGGCAGGGGGTGGGATGGGATGAACTTTGAGGTCCCTTTCAACCCAAACCAGTCTGGGTTCCTATGGAGCTGGGGATGCTGCTGGCTGGGATGGCTTCAGGCTGGTTTGCTTCTCATCAGACAATCCTTGTGGGAATAGCTCCGAGGGATTAAAGGAAAACACTGTGCTCCAGGGAGACCTCAGAGCCCCTTCCAGTGCCTCAAGGGGCTCCAGGAGAGCTGCAGAGGGACTTGGGACATGGGTCTGGAGTGACAGGAAACAGGGAAAAGTTTGTTGCCTGTTCATGCTGTGGTCCAGCCTTGAGTTTTATCCCAAGGTGAGGCATTTCCAGGGATAAAAACAAGACCCAGGACTCCAAGGCATTTCACTAATAGATCCTGACTGTGTCTCATGGTCTGTTTGCTGCAGCCTCTGCTCAGTCATTCACCTGATACTTCTTCTCCTGCACTCAGGCTGTGAAAGCTCCACTGGTTCCCACCTCCAGTTTCTGGAAAACAGTGTCAGAATACAGTAATTGATAGGATGCATTTTTTTCCTTCCTCTGTTCTTCCAGAGCTGGGAAAGGAGTGTTTTCAGCCATGAAGCTTGGCAAGGCACGTCCCTCGAAGGATGAGCATCGGAAACAAGGTATGAGCATGTAGTGATTGGTCTGAGTGGGAAGGACCTCAAAGCTCATCCCATTCCACCCCCTGCCATGGGCAGGGACACATTCCACCAGCCCCGGTTGCTCCAAGCCCCATCCAACCTGGCATGGAACACTCCCAATGCCTCACCACCCTCACAGCCGAGAATTCCTGCCTAATATCCCATCCAGCCCAGCCCTGAGGCAGTGGGAAGCCATTCCCTGTGTTCTGTCCCTCTAGGCCCTTGTCCAACCCCTGGGAGTCCTGCAAGCCTCTCCTGAGTGATGTTTAGGGATTGCTATGCAAGCATGGGAAGGCAGAGCAGGATTTAGCCCCTGCCCCTCACTTGGCACAGCAGCAGCAGTGGGAGCGGAAGAGCTCAGCACCTGCAGGGCTGAAACTGGACACTTCTGGAAAGGCAGGAGTGGGACAGCAATTGGAAATTCATTGCTGTTTCCATTCACACTGAAGGATTGGATTTCCCCAGCAGGGAAATGCAACGAGTGTGTTTGCAGCCATGGCCAGAGTTGCTTTAGAGGCAAAGTCCTGCTGGATTTCAGCCTGGTTTGGGGGATAGGAAAGGAGGAATTCTAATGGGACACCTGTGTATGTGTCCCATGGCCTGTGGGGAGCTATGGCACTGGAACCTAGGTGGTCTCTCTCCTTCCCTCCCTCCTTCCCTCCCTCCCTCCCCATTGTCTGTGTGTTCCTCTCATGCTTAGAGCTTCCCATGGCTAACAACCAGAATGCAAAGGCAGGAACAGGATTGTTCCATGGCCAGGGAGTGGTCCAACACTGTGGTGTGGTCAGTGCTGCATGGCCATGGGTCTCCTTCCACCTTCCCCAGGTGCCTCTGGCTGTCACAGCCCTCCTCAGGGCTCTGCTCTCCCACCACCCTCCTGTGCTTGGTGTGATCCCTCCCCTTGGCCTGACCACTGGAGCTGGGACAGGGAGGGTGTCCTGGCCAAGCCACCATCACCCTTGGGCCATGATTTGCTTCCCTCCCATCCAGGCTGCAGGTCTTGCCCACTGGATGAGCACTGACCAGACTGGGAGGGTGCTGAGCTGTCACTCGCCTGCAGTTCACAGGATCTGACCTGCTTAAGGCCTTCATGGAGTCATGGAATGCTTTGGGTGGGAAGAAACATTTAAGTTCATCCCATCCCACTCCTTGCCATGGGCAGGGCCACCTCCCACCAGCTCAGGTTGCTCCAAGCCCCATCCAGCCTGGCCTGGAACACTCCCAGGGATGGAGCAGACACAGATGTTCTGGGAATTCCATCCCAGCCCCTCACCACCCTCCCAGGGAAGAATTCCTGGCCAATATCCCATCTGTCCCTGCCCTCTGGCACTGGGAAGCCATTCCCTGTGTCCTGTCCCTCCATCCCTTGTCCCAAGTCCCTCTGCAGCTCTCTTGGAGCCCCTTGAGGCACTGGAAGGGGCTCTGAGGTCTCCCTGGAGCTTCTCTCTGCAGCTCTCCTGGAGCCCCTTTAGGCACTGGAAGGGGCTCTGAGGTCTCCCTGGAGCTTCTCTTCTCCCGGCTGGACACCCCCAGCTCTCCCAGCCTGGATCCATGGCAGAGCTGTTCCAGCCCTCAGAGCATCTCCATGGACCTGTTCTAGCAAATCCATGACCTTCCTGTTCTGAGGATCCCAGAGCTGGATGCAGTACTTCCCAGCTTGTGTGATTTTTACTCAATCCCAAGCTCTCCCAGCTGAGCTGACAACGCACTTTCCCCCAGGGAAAGGAACATCTCAGCAGCTTCTCTCAGTAGGAACCCAGAGCTGGGCACACCTCCATACTGGTGGGATCTGAGGTGTCGTCTCTCCCTGCAGCAACTTCTCATCTTGAGAAATGACCTATTACTCCTGTTTTTCCAGCCCCCCCCTGCCCCAAATCCATACACTTGGTTGGTCTTTCTGACATCTCTCCTGGTAGACAGAGCTGTAGCTCTTGCTCCAATGATCCTTCACCCCCTGAATTTGAGGTGTTGTCACGTTTACTTACTTCCCTTTTACCCTCACAAACCCTTTCCAGGCTTTCTGCCCAGGTGGAATTATGTGTCCCATGAGGCAAACTCCTTAATAATCTCTTTTCAGGCTGTTTGTGACCTGACCTGATGCCCATTGTTTCCTCTTTTCTCGAGTGAGGTGGACCAGGACGTATTGGTTTCCCTTTCTCTTGGCCTTTAATTATTCAGTGAGTGGAAAATCAAACGAGACATTTCTTTTGTCTCCTCTGTGCAGATGAACCTGCTGTGCTGGAGACAGAGGACCTGGACCGAAGAGCCATGAGATATGGAGGTGGATTTGAGCCAGACACCATCTCCTTGGCCTCTGTCACAGCTGTCACCACCAATGTCTCCAATAAGAGGTGAGGTCCAGCTCTGAGGTGCTGCAAGACAGGAGGGGAGGGAATGCTGACAGCAACCCAAATCCAGGTGTTCCCACATGTTGGAGTGAGTCTTGAGGTGGCCACAGAGATGCTCTAAGGGCTAGAGCAGCTGGGAGAGCTGGAGGTATTTAGCCTGGAGAAGAGAAGCTCCAGGGAAACCTTAGAGCCCCTTCCAGTGCCTAAAGAAGCTCCAAGAGAGCTGCAGAGGGATTGGGACAGAGGGACCCCATGGCAGGGGTGGAATTTGATGAGCTTTAAGGTCCTTCCAACCCAAACCAGTCTGGGATCCTATGGAGCTGAGGATGCTGCAGGCTGGGATGGCTCCAGGCTGGGGTTCTCATCAGGCAATCCCTGTGGGATGAGCTCCAAGGGATTCAAGCAAAATGCTGAGCTCCAGGGAGACCTCAGAACACCTTCCAGTGCCACAAGGGACGCCAAAGGAGCTGCAGAGGGACTTGGGACAAGGGCCTGGAGGGACAGGACACAGAGAAGTGGCTTCCCACTGCTAGAGGGCAGGTAGAGATGGGATATTGGGCAGGAATTCTTGGCTGTGAGGGTGCTGAGGCACTGACACAGGTTGTCCAGAGCAGCTTTAGCTGCTCCATGCCTGGGAGTGTTCCAGGCCAGGTTGGATGTGGATTGGAGCAACCTGGGCTGGTGGGAGATATCCCTGCCCATGGCAGGGGATGGAATTCTCTGATCTTTAAGGTCCCTGCCCACCCAGACCATTTCATCACACTCTGAAATCCATCTGTGGTTTGACCAAGAGTTTCTTCTATCCTTCCAAAGATCCAAGCCTGACATCAAAATGGAGCCAAGTGCTGGGAGGCCAATGGATTACCAGGTAGGTGACAGTGTTGTGTCCCCAGCCTGAGCTCAGGGAGGTCACAACCCAGACTGGGGTGGGACCCTTTGCAGGGACCAACTTCATGTGGGTTCCAGCACATGAAGAAGGACATCCCAGGAGCTGCCATTGGAATGGCTGAGTGATAAACTCAAGATGAAGTCCTTAACTGGGTTTGTTCTCCATGATGTGAAGCTCAGAAAGCCCAAATCAAGTTCTGGATGAAACAGGTTGTCCCCAGTGCATTTCTTCTTGGAGCAACCTGGCCTGGTAGAAGATGTCCCTATCAATGGCAGGGAGTGGGACTGGATGAGCTTTAAGGTCCCTTCCCACCCAAACCACTCTGGATTCTATGATCCCTGTGAGTTTCCTAGCAGAAGTGAAGCCAATGGGTCTCACCAACCAAGCTCTGACCCCAGAGCTTAGCTGAATCCGGTTGACTTTACACTCCACATGAAGCACCCACATTCCAGAGCTGTAACAACAGGGATTCCTGGGATCTCCTCCATCCCACCTGGTGACCTGGTGTGACCAGGAGACCCCAAATCTGCCACCACTGTCCTGGCAATGACTCAGGATAAGAGCTGGGGAGTGAAGGCAACAAGTAGCACCTGCTGCTGCCCTCAGGGGGTCCATGAATCCTTCTCCCCAGGTCAGCATCACCATCATCGAGGCTCGGCAGCTGGTTGGGCTCAACATGGACCCTGTGGTGTGTGTGGAAGTTGGGGAGGAAAAGAAATACACATCCATGAAGGAATCAACCAATTGCCCTTACTACAATGAGGTGGGTTTAGCGTCTGGTGGTGCTCACAGCTCTGGTCTCCTCAGGGTCTGCATTGCTGTTGGTCAATTTCTTGTCACTTGAGGTTGTTTAGGGTTTGTTTCTTCTGTCAGCTCTTGGTGGGGTAAGATGAAATCACAAGGAAAAACTTTGTGATATCTCTGTGGTTTCTCCTCTCAAACCACAGAGGAAAAATGAAGCATTTGGCCTCTGGTATTGGGTAGAAATGCTGAAAAGTGGCACTTGAGTCATCTGTGCTGGATCATCCTCAGGTTTGCTGAGGTTAGTGCTCCCAGACTGCAGAGGAGGTCAGTGTTGGGCTCACACGGATCCATCCTCAATGTGCCATGTGCTTCAGGATGCTCCTCCAGGAGCTCACAGGGGCTTCTCCACCCTGATGCTGTCTCAGAATGCTGAAGGAGCCCATCCCAACCCTTCTGCAGGTTGGAGGTGAGGCTTCGAGCCCTTACCACTGCTTCTTCCCTTGCAGTACTTTGTCTTCGACTTCCACGTCCCCCCAGACGTCATGTTCGACAAGATCATCAAGTTGTCTGTAAGTGAATGTGATTCCCTTGCCCTTTTCATGGAATTTTGGGAGAAACCAGCCCCATTTGGGGTTTGATTTAAGGTCCTTGGAGTGAGACCCTCCACAGGAGCTGAGCAGTTCAGCCCCACAAGCCTCACCTCATCTCCAGACCCCAAGTCCCTCTTGTTGTGATTGCTCTTCCATCCAGGGTCCACACAACTCCACTCCTGCAGGCACTGTCTCCCTTTAGGGATGATCTCCAGAGCCAGGCAGGACCAGACCTGGCCTGGGATGTGTTTATAGACCTTCCTGAGCCTGCCACTCCCAGAGCTATGGTGGGAATTGAGGCCTGGGAATGCTGAGAGCCAAGCAGAGACTTTAGCCCTCCCCAAGGCCACAGAGGAGGATGATGAGCAAGGTGTTCCCAAAATGCCTAATTAGGAGTGTCCATCCCTGTCCCATGCACAATTTCTCTCCCAAAGGGAATTAGACCATCGGTTCTGAGCATCCTGAAGACTATTCCATCAGGAAATGTCCCAGTGTTTGCTGTCCCAGTGGCTGGAAAACAATATTGCTTCAAAGATGAATTTCTGTGCATGGTTTATTCAATCCAAGCACAAACTTACTTGGGATACCAGTAAACAAGAGCTGCCAACCCCACCAGGCCTCCTGGTGTCCTTAGAGTCCCACACGGACCAAGGAAAATACATCAGCTCCTTTCCCAGCCAACACTAAACACCTCTGGAAAGAGCCTCATGGCTCTCAGGACAAGGAAAAGAGAAAGTCTAACTGGTTTTCCCCTCTTGACTTCCAGGTAATCCACTCAAAGAACCTCCTGCGCAGTGGGACCTTAGTGGGATCCTTCAAGATGGACGTGGGAACTGTTTATTCCCAACCTGGTAGGGAAATACTGTTTGCAGCTCCTCCTGTGGCACAACCTGCAAGTGAATGTCCTTGCAAGGTGGTGAGGCAGGTCCTGGTGTCCCTGGGAGGTGCAGTTCCAGTTTAGTGTTAGTGTAGGTGTCTCCAACGTAAGAAGGACGTGGAACTGTTGGAGCAAGTCCAGAGGAGGCTACAAAGCTGATTGGAGAACTGGAGCACCTTCCCTATAGGAGAGATAGGGGTGTTCAGCCTGGAGAATAAAAGGTTATATAGAGACCTCATAGCACCTTCCAGGATCTGAAGGGGCTCCAGGGAAGCTGGAGAGGGACTCTTGGTTAGGAATTGCAGTGACAGGACAAGGAGCAATGGGGATAAATTGGAAGAGGGAAAGTTAGATTAGATATTAGGAAGAGGTTTTTTCCTGTGAGGGTGATGAGACACTGGCACAGGTTGCCCAAGGAGGCAGTGGTTGCCCCAGGGAGGCTGTGGTTGCCCAGGTATGTTGTGGCTGCTCCAATCCTGTCAGTGTTCATTCCAGGTTGGATAAGCCTTGAGCAACCTGGGCTGGTGGGGACTAGATGATCTCTAAGGTCCATTCCAATATCTTAGCATCCTATGATAGTATCTGAGACATGGACAAGTCACCTGGGCTTCCTCTTAGGACAGGAAAAAGCACTCAGCACTTCCAGAGAAGCTTCTATATGCCATCCTGAAATCATCAAATCTGGACTGGTTTGGGTTGGAAGGAACTTAAAGCTCATCCCAACCCACCCCCTGCCATGGGCAGGGACACCTCCCACCAGCCCAGGTAGCTCCAAGCCCTATCCAACCTGGCCTAGAACACTCCCAGGGATGGAGCAGCCACAGCTGCTCTGGGCAAGCTGTACCAGTGCCTCACCACCCTCACAGCCAAGAATTCCTTCCCAATATCCCATCTGTCCCTGCCCTCTGGCAGTGGGAAGCCATTCCCTGTGTCCTGTCCCTCCAGGACCTTGTCCCAAGTCCCTCTGCAGCTATCTTGGTGCCCCTTGAGGCACTGGAAGGGTGTTCAAGGTCTCTCTGGAGTCTTCTCTTCCCCAGTATGAGCCTCCCCAACCCTCCAGGGGTTACAGCCAGAGGCTAAGGATCCTCCTGGCTGTGCTGGTCTCCATCCACTGACCTGCTGAGGAAGGAAACCCAAGGTGACTTGCTTAGACAAGTCATGAACCTTCAGACAGTTGAAGGTCCAGGCTGATCCTCCCCTCCGTGACTGGCATTTAATCCCAGGCAGGAAGATGTTTGGTGTGCAATGGAAAAGATGGAGATATTGATCAGGACTGCTGATCATCAAGTCCAGTCATCCCCCAAGCACTGCCAAGGCCACCAATGACCATGTCCTCGAGTGCCACATCCTCATGGATGTCAAATCCCTCCAGGGATGGTGACTCCAGTGAGGGAGACTGAATTCTTCACACCTGAAGGTGACTCTGTGCAGGTTCTCCCACTCAAGTGAAGGACACCTCCAGTCCTTGCTGATAGAGTATCTCTTGTGCCCTGCCTTCCAGAGCACCAGTTCTACCACAAATGGGCCATCCTGTCTGACCCTGAGGACCTCACTGCCAGCCTGAAAGGTTACGTGAAGTGTGACATCGCCGTGGTGGGGAAAGGAGACAACATCAAGACACCACACAAGGCCAATGAGACAGATGAGGATGATATTGAAGGGTAAGGATGACTGGTTTCACCCTGACTTCCCTGGGTAGGATGTTTCAGGTCTCTTTGCGTTGGATCATATGATGAAGATAAGATCCAAACCACACCAGGCTGGGCAACCCCTATCTGCACACACCTTCCTGTGCCATGAGGGCCCATCAAGTACTCTTCAGAGAGAGAATACCTGGTCCTGGTGCAAATCCAGGTGATGTCAAACACAGACCAGTCACTTGTGTCAGCTCAGATCTTCTGCTGGTTGTTGGGCTGGTTTCTAGATCAACAGCAACCTGATGTCAACCAACCTGAGGTCCTCACTCTTTACCTGATGGTCCATTTGGCTCTTGGATGGGGTAGGATGACAGGATGGGATGGGTTGGAGTCTCATCACCCACTGCCAAGGCAGAGCAGGGAGCTCTGGATGAGCTTTCTTAGGCTATATGGGTAGGAAAAGACTCTTTGACTCCCCAGAACATCTCAAAGGTCATGGAACCAAAACCAGGAGATTTTAAGACTTGTTTCCAGTCTCAAAACATGTCAGGCTTAGACTCTGCTCAGCCCCAGCAGCTCCCTCCAACCCCATGGCTGATGTTGCAGGAACCTCCTCCTCCCTGATGGAGTCCCTCCAGAGAGGCAATGGGCTCGTTTCTACGTCAAGATCTACCGAGCAGAAGGTCTGCCCAGGATGAACACCAGCATCATGGCCAATGTCAAGAAGGCTCTCATTGGGGAGAACAAAGACCTGGTAGACCCCTACGTGCAGGTGGTCTTTGCTGGGCAGAAGGTGAGCAAACTCTGTGGGTGACCCTTGGGGATAAGGTGAGCAGGAACATTTGAGAGCAGCCCTAGAAGAAGGACTTGGGGATGATTGTTAGTGACCAACTCACCATGAGCTGCAGTGAGTGCACACAGCCCAGAAACCAACCCTGTCCTGGGCTACACCAAAAGGACTGTGGGCAGCAGGTGAGGGAGGGGATTCTCCTCTGCTCTGCTCTTGTCAGACCCACCTGGAATACTGCACATGGCTCTGATGTCCCCAACATCAGAAGTACATGGAATCATAGACTGTTAAGGCATTGGAATGGACCTTAGAGATCACTTAGTCCCACCCCCCTGCCCTGGGCAGAGTCACCTTCCACCAGACCAGGTTGCTCAAGACTTTATCCAACCTGGAATGAACATGGACAGGGTTGGGGCAGCCACAACCTCCCTGGGCAACCTGTGCTAGTGTCTCATCACCCTCACAGTTGGAACTGTTGGAGCAAGTCCAGAAGAGGCCACAAAGCTGATCAAAGAACTGGAGCACCTTCCCTGTGAGCGAGTTGGATCTGTTCAGCCTGGAGAAGAGAAGGTTGTCTGGAGACCTCATAGCACCTTTCAGGATCTGAAGAGGCTCCAGGGAAGCTGGAGAGGGGCTCTTGGTTAGGAACTGGGTTGATAGAACAAGGAGTAGTAGGGATAAATGGAAAGAGGGAAAGTTAGATTAGGTATTAGGGAGAAATTCTTCCCTGTGAGGGTGGTGAGTCACTCGCACAGGTTGCCTAGGGAGGCTGTGGCTGCCTCAGGGAGGTTGTTAAGGTCCCAACCCTGTTCGTGTCCATTCTAGGTTGGATAAAGCCTTGAGCAGCCTGGTCTGGTGGGAGGTGTCCCTACCCAGGGCAGGGGGTTGGGACTAGATGATCTCCAAGGACCATTCCAACCCCTTGACATACTATGATACACTGACCAGCCATCGTACAGGGGGACAGATATGGTCTTGATTGTCCATGTAGATGCTGAGATATGGGTAATGTCACCTTGTCTCTTGTGTGTCCCTCTCTGTGATGGGTTTGTAGTGCTCTCCATGGGAGGAAAGGAGTTTGTTACTTGGGAGGGAGAAGTCACAAGGCAGAATCGATGCAGGGCACCAGTTCAGGTTAAGAGGGATGACCTGTGAAGTCAAACCTTTGTCTAACATCCATCTTCTCCTTTAGAAAAGGTGGTTAGACTTGGAAAGGGGCTGTCCAGGGAGGTGGTGCAGTTACCATCCCTGAAGGTGTCCAAGGAATGACTGGACGTGGCACTCAGTGCTCTGGTCTAGTAAACAAGGTGGTGATGGGTCACAGGTTGGACTCGATGATCTCAGAGATCTTTTCCAACCTGGATGATTCTGTGCCTCCCCAGGGGAAGACATCAGTGCAGAAAAGTTGCTATGAGCCTCTCTGGAATGAGCAAATCGTCTTCACAGAGATGTTCCCTCCCCTGTGCAAGAGGATAAAGGTCCAGATCCGAGACTCAGACAAGGTCAATGACGTGGCCATTGGGACACATTTTATTGACCTGAGGAAGATCTCTAACGAAGGAGACAAAGGTAAAGCTAAGGTGGGGAACAGTCTGGGCTTCTCTACCTCCTTCCTGCTAGAGACATCCCTTTGGCAGGGAGCTCCCAAATTATCCCAGGCTCCTTCACTATCCCTGGGCACAGCTGGTTCTTGGTGGCCAGCTGGAGAGACCTTGATGCACTGCAAAGGTCTCCTGAGGTAACTGGACACACACTCTGGAGTGCTGAGGGAGCTGTGGGGGATCAGCCTGGAGAAAAGGAGGCTCAGGGGAAACTTCTGCTCACTGTAACTCCCTGACAGGAGGTGCAGCCAGGTGGGGTCAGGCTCTGCTCCCAGGGAACAAGGGACAGGATGAGAGGAAACAGCCTCAAGCTGTGCCAGGGGAGGTTCAGGTTAGCCATCAGGAGGAATTTCTCCATGGAAAGGGCTGTCAGGCATTGGAAGGGGCTGTCCAGGGAGGTGATGGAGTCACCATCCCTGGAGGTGTTCAAAGAATGACTGGATGTGGCACGAAGCAGGGAGAGCTGGCTGTGGCCCAGGGCCTTGTGTTGGCAGGAGTACAACAGCAACGCAGACAGCCATGCTGGGAATGTGCTACCACATGTTTAGCCATTGGAAGGGGCTGTCCAGGGAGGTGATGGAGTCACCATCCCTGGAGGTGTTCAAAGAATGACTGGATGTGGCACTCAGTGCCCTGATCTGGTTGACAAGGTGTCACCTTGGGTCACAGGTTGCACTTGATGGTCTTGCAGGGCTTTTCCATCCTCAGTAATTCCATGATCCTGTGAAAACTCTCCGTGGATGGTTGCAACCACACCTTTTCATGTACACACTCAACCTGTGCCACCATACACAGACCAAGAAAGTGATGCCCATCCCTGAGTTTGTAACCAGAGGCCAATCCATGTCCTTCTCCTTGCACATCCTCCTCCCACCCCTGCAGGCTTCCTGCCCACCTTTGGCCCTGCCTGGGTGAACATGTATGGCTCCACACGGAACTACACCCTGATGGATGAGCACCAGGAGCTCAATGAGGGCCTGGGAGAAGGTGTCTCCTTTCGGGCCAGGCTTTTGATGAGCCTTGCTGTGGAGATCTTGGACACCACCAACCCTGAGATCAACAGCTCCACCGAAGTGCAGGTCGAGCAGGCCACAGCAGTTGCTGATGTAAGTCACCCCTGGGCTGGTGGGAGGTGTCCTTGTCCATGGCAGGGGTGGGATGGGATGAGTTTTAAGGTTCCTTCCCACCCAAACTGTTCCATGATTTCTCTGACCTCCTAAGCTTTGAGATATTTCTCCACTTGGAAAATAGACCAGGGCACAGTGAGTCATCTCCTAAACAGAATTGTCTCCCTTCTATCCCAATGGGTTCCAAAGAGAAGTCAAGAATCTAATCTATTTCCCAACCAGGGGGAATGAAGCCACCTGCAAGTAAAGCCATTCCAGCCCTGAAGGAGCATCCAGACAGATGGTTTGGTGTGGTTTGACCCTTGCAAGCCTCAGCAGTGTCACCTCACCTTCCCAGAGCCCCTGAGGGTGCTCAGAGGTGCCAGCTCTCTGGCCAAGGGGACCTGTCCCTCCATCTGACCTCCACTCTGATCCCTGTGGTTCCTTTCTCCTGCAGAACTGCACTGGGAAGATGGAAGAATTCTTCCTCTTTGGAGCCTTCCTGGAAGCCACCATGATTGACAGGAAGATTGGTGACAAACCCATCCACTTCGAGGTCACCATAGGTTGGTTGGCTTTGGGGGAGGATGGTTTGGAAGCATGGGAAGTGTGAGGATCACAATCCAAAGCTGATAGCAGGGTTTTCCCCAGATTGCCATATGAATCCATGCTAGAGGGCTCTTGCTTTGGAGAGAATGTCATGGATACACTATGGGCACAACCCATGTGGGTCCTCACATCACTCACTTTGTGCCTGCTGAGCTATGGCCAGTGGAGCTGTTCCATCTCCCACCTTGGCTTTGTGCTCCTGAGGTTGATCACCACCAGGAGAGAGTGTATCCTGCAGCTCAGGAGGGGACATGAGCAGGGGACAGACACCCCTAACCTCTATGTTTCCTCTCACGGCTTCAGAGGGTTCAACTCCACCATGCCCTGTGGTTCCTGCAGAGAAAACCTCTGCCCTCCTGAGTCACAGAGATGTTAAAGTTGGAACAGACCTGTGGAGGTCATCTAGTCCATCCCCCTCTGTTCTAGCAGGACTTAGAGCCAATTACCAGGACCATGCCCAGATGACAATGGTCCCACTGTCAGCTCTTTGAGATGTGCTTCTTAACCCAAAGGCCATATTGGATCCTTCCCTTCACCTCAGGGTTGGCTCTGAGGCCAGACTGAGCTGCTCAGGGCTTCTTCCAGTCTGTGGGAAGCTCCTGCAGGAGACAGAGCTGAGCCCTTCACAGTGCTGCAGTACAGGTAAGCAAGAGAGTAGAGCCATAAGCTGAGATACAAGAAAATCAGCTTTGTGGGGAGAAGCTTTTCCCCCAGGAAGACAGTGAGGTGGTGGCACAAGTTGCCCAGAGGGGCTGTGCAGGCTCCTTCCTCAGAAGACTTGACTGCAAGAAGCCCTGAGCAGCTGCAAAAGAGGCAAAGCTAAGCATGGTTGTAAGGACTCCCTGGATCCTCAGCATCTTCATTCCCCTTCTCATGGAGTCCTATTTCCTCAAAGGACCTACCTAGCCTTTCATTTTGAGTAGGAAGAGTCTTCTCCAAGTACTCTTTGGAGGGTTCAACCCCTGAGGTGAAGCCTGGATGGAGTTACAACCAGTGGATTTATTGCACCTTTCTTTCCTCTCTTGAGGTAACTATGGCAACCAGGTGGATGGCATGAGCAAACCCATCCTGAGGAGGAAGAAAGAGGGAGGGAATGGGGATGAGGAGGAGTCTGAGCTGCTCCAGAACTCCAGTGAGGATGAAGGTGATGAGGATGGAGAGCTGGTCTCTGTTTCTTCCTCCCAACCCATGAAGCCTCTGGTCACAGACAGGTAAGTGCCCATCTGGTCACTGAAGTGGCTCTAGATTGAGCCACATGCTAATTTCCAAGCTCCCACCACTGTCTGCAGAGGTGTCAGTGCTGTCCCAGAGCCTGGATCCATCCCAAAGGGTCCTGGAAGCAGATCTCCATGCCCTGAGGTTAGATACCTGAGATACTCCAGGCTCCCAGATGGATCCCCACCCTTACCCTACACTTCTGAGCATCCCTGTGGATTCTCTTATGTCCAGTAAGGGCTGAATTGACCTTCCAGGCTACATACAAATGACATTCTCCATCGACCTGCCCAGATGGCCACCAAAACTCAAAGCTCTCCAATGCCTTCAGTACTCTTCCCCTGTGGAAAATAGGGATGGGGTTAACTAAGGGAGGCAAAGCATCATTGGTGGGGACTGAAAAACACAAGTTCACTCCTGGACACAAAAGCTTCCTACTTTTAGTGTGGAGAATGGAGTTGGGGAAGGGGCTGGAGCAGCAGGAGTGGCTGAGGGAGCTCAGGAGCTCCAGCCTGGAGAAAAGGAGGCTCAGGGGAACCTTCTTTTCTCTGCAGCGGGGGTCAGGCTCTGTTCCCAGGGAACAAAGGGCAGGATGAGAGGAAACAGCTTCAAGTGGTGCCAGGGGTGGTTCGGGTTGGATATTGGGACAATTACTCCTGGAAAGGGTTGTCCAGCCCCGGCACAGACTGCCCAGGGCAGGGGTGAAATCACCACCCTGGAGGGATTTAACATCCATGTG